AAAGGGAGTTTGATATTTTTTTGAAAAATAAATTTTTTTTTTTTTTTTTTTAAAAACCTTTTTTTTTTTTTTTTTTTTTTTTTTTTGGATAAGAATCTGATTGGAAAAATAAAGAAATTGATTATATTCCTGAGAATACAGATTTTCGCTTACCGATGCAAAACAATTCTCAAAAAAAAAAATAATGATTTTATGATTGCTTTGCGATTTGAGTTTTTGGTTAGGCCAATCTCTTGTGTTTGTTGCCCAATTCATTTGTTTTCTTGGTGGATAAAATAAAGCCATTCTCTTGTTGTTGATGATAATATCCGAGAAAGAAAAAGATGAACGAAAAAAAATCAGCCAAAATTCATTAAAGAATATCCATTCACCTTATCAACATTGGTTTATTTTTTGTTTGTTTGGTTTGTTTCATCATTTATTTTTAGCCCATTTCGATTGAATTTTTGTTTGTTTGTTTTTGTTTATATTGGTTGATTGAATCGTTGAATTCTTCTTTTCTGCAGAGAGAAAAACGAAAAAAAGAAGAGGAAAATCAAAAGAAAACGCAAAACGTCCATTTTCATTTCCCATATGAATTTGCTTGTTTTGTTTTTTAAAACACTGTCAATAAACAAGAAATGATCAGCCTTGTCTTTCTTGTTTCTACGTTGTTGTTGTTGTTATTTGTATCAATCAATCGATTTTGATTGATTCAATTTTTCGTTTATTGATTCCCTTAAATGCTATAAACAAATCATTGAAAAGAAACAAACACTGAAACATTACCACGAAAGATCTGGCATCTCATCATCATTTTCAACGGAAAAAAAATCCATTTCAATCAAACATCAACATTCTTCGAAGATGATCTTTTCCTCTTTTTTATGATATAACGCGGATCAACAGCAAAAATCCGATTTCAAAGTTGTTCAAAGTTTTGTTTTTTGCTTGCTTGTCTTTTCGTTTCTGGTGATTCGCAATTTGATGATTTTTACATAATTCCAAGGAAAAACTTTCCATAAGTAATCATAAACTTAAGATTCAGGCCAAAAAGTGAATTAAAGAAGTGTTTTTTTCTCTCATGTCAAAACTGTTGCATATTTTCATATTTTCTTCTGTTGATTGAGTGATTCTTGAGAATCGAAAATGGGAAATGTTTTCAAAACATTTTTTTCGAAAAATTTATCATTTTTCCTGGAATTTTCACTCTGACAAGCGTTTCTTTCATGTATCAATTACCGAAAATGTTTTAATCATTATTCTTTTTTTTTGCCTTTTGGCTAATTCGCATCTAGAATCATTAACTAACTAACTAAAATTAAATTAAAACAGCTGAATAATTTCACATCATCACACCATCATTGCCAATTTCGTTTACAAAACTTTTTCTTTTTTCACTAATCTCAAATGGATTAGCAACCATATCACACCACAGCCACAGTCATTATAATTATTGCTCGGTTTGTTATCAATTTCTATTTTCTTTTTTTCCGACTATAATCACCTCTACATCCTTTTTTTCTGCGTTTTTTCCGAGAGAAAAAAAGATAAAAACATTGCCCATCGGAACAAAAAATCCAACAGCAATGGCGCCCAGAATATTTTCGATTTAATTTCTATTTTTTTCGCTTTGTTTCGCTTATTACTAAAACTAAAATGTAATGTATAGTTTTGTCGGGATGATTAGCTCAATTAAATTTAATTAGATTTTTGTTTTTGTTTTATTCTCGGTTATATTACACGATGATGATGTTGCAGGCGCCATTTTTTTCTTTGCTGCAGTGCCCTCCAGTAACAAAGAACCGATGGATCATTCATTGGTGGTGGTGGCGTTTGGTCAATAAGAATTTGTTTAATTTTCCCGAAATAATTCCCAAAAAGATTCCAATTGGATTTTTTGTTTTTGTTTTGTTTTTTATCGATTTGGGATTAACTTGAATGAAGAACAGAAGAAGAAATCCAAGAAATCATAATCGAATCGATAATTAATTAATTTTGGAAAAAATTTGTTTTTTTTTTCAAGTAAAATCCAATGAGAAAAAAGTTTCGATTTTCAATTATTTATCCAGAAATTAAGTTGAAACAGGCAGGAAAGATAATTTCATTTGTGAAAAGGACATGCGCATGCTCTATGCTTTATGTCTCCAAAAAAAAATTGTCGTCTGTTCTTGTGATTCTTTCACAGAATATTCTCTGCTGTTGTCGAGATGGGTTATATAAATTCCAATATCAAAATGAAAATATTTAACCATTCTCTTTCCATTGTTGTTTTTGGATTGTTAGGTTACCGGAGAATAGTTTCCAGAAAGATTTTTTGTAATTTTTTTTTTCCTACTGATCGGTTAAATGCTTGTTGATTATTATTATATTTTATGTTGTTGACATCCCTATTATAATGATGATAATCTGATTTCATTGTTGTTTGTTTGTTTTTTTCCTGTGATGTGACTAATCTGGATTTTTTTGCAAGATTTTCTATTTTCCAATGAAATGTTCTCTCTGTGTTTGCATAAACGATTATCGTCATAATTATCGTTTATTTGTTTTTTTGTTTCGTTCGCTTTGATCACATAATATTCATGTTTTGTTTTTCAAAGATTTATGACATTCCTTTGTGAACATCAACTACGCAAAACGGCGGCAGCTTTCATGTGAAAACGAAACAAACGAAGAAACTATCATTTTCGATCAAACTGTGTATCATCATCATCATTGTGATCGGCAGAGATCAAAAACAAACAGTGAAAAGCACAGTGAAACATCATTTTTGCGACAAAGAATTTGCTGGGTAATTTTCTTTTTCTCATTTGAAAAAACGGTCATCATCATCATAAAATATTTAAACCAGAAAACAGAAAAAACTTAAATTCAAACCATCATCATCATCATTGTTTTCAACCAAACAAACAAATTTTCTCCCAAAAAACAAAAAAAAACCCAAAAACTGAAATTGTCTCCAAGGACACTATTGTAACATTAGTGGTGTTGTTGGTGGTGGTGTAAATTGATTCCTAGTTCGAACAACCTTAATTTTGCCAAATGTCATTTGTTATTCGTTGTTTTCGGTTAACATCGTACCAAACATAGTATCGTTACAGTTGATCGATTCTTATCGATTCAAGAAAAGAGATCAGCAATGTTTGATCATTGCAGATCCCAAAAAACCTCGAACGGAAACAAATTCGTATTTTTCTTCTTCAATTGACAGGTCAGAATCTTGTGCGTGTGTGTGCGTGAAACTGGATGCTTTTTCAAGGCAAAAAACAAACTTCGTTATTTAATTGTAAATTCTGTAATTCTGGTTATTGATTATCTGTTTTCCAAAAATTGTTTTCAATTATCATCTCAGTTGCTTCAAGCTATCATCATCTGTGTGTGTAATCTTATTTACCAGAAATGAAAAAAAAATTGTTTAATTCTCGGCCATAACTCGTTTCATCACCGAAAAACATAGACAACAACAAACAAAAAAAAACAGAAAACTTTCCGAAAATATTTCCGTTCACGATCGATTCCTTAAACACGAAGAACATTTTTGTTTTAATACTTAATAAATAATATAAGATAGCAAAATTAGAGAGAGAGAGTCTCTCTCTCTCTCTCTCTCTCTCTCTCTCTTCGTCTCTTGACTAAATTTTTTTTCTGTTGGAAAAAAAGAATGATATCTTATCACTTCAAAATCGAACGAATTTAAATATATACACACAGAGAATGATTGTATCCAAATATTCAGTGTTCGAGGTAGAAATAGTCGTTGTCACACGAAATTAATATTTTCAATTAAACACACAGACACAGACCCAGAGAGTTGAAATTCAAACTTTTTTTTTTGAAGAAAAAAACTCAAAACTTGAAACGGCTGTTTTTCAATTTCTTAATTCTTTGTGAGAAAAAAAGAAAGAAAAGAAAATCCTCTTCAATCACTCTAGGATTCTGGATTCTTATCCCTCACAACTTACTTTAACACTGGGAACATTTTCTTTTCTTTTTTTTTGCACAGAAACATTTTTGCCGAAAAGAAACTTTAAAGAAAAAACAAACTTTGTCATCTTCAAATGATGATGATGAAAACTAAACCAAATGGATGATCCAAGACTACTGCACATTTCTCTTGGATGTTTGTGACAATGTGGCCATCATTTTCTTGTTGTTGTTGTTGTTGTTGTCGATTTTGAAGAAATTAAATTTTTTTTTTAACAACAACAACAAATGAAACGAAAAACAAGAATAACCAACCAACCACCATAAAATTCTTGCTTATTTACAGCAAGATTCTTTTCTTTTCTTCTCTTTTCTTTCTGTTTGGTGTAATTGAATTAAGACTTTATTCCTACTCCCGGGTTGATGATGATCATGATGATAGTTTTCATTGTCCTTTCTCTCTCTATATCCCAAGTTGTTGTTGTTGTTAAATAACGAAATGTTCAATGGCTATGTAAACGATGATTTGAGTTTAGTTTTTTTTGTCATTTTGAACTTGTTTGAGTGTTGTTGCTGTGTATATAGAATTCAGTGTGTAAGTTTTCTAAATAAAAAATAAAGTGCATTTTCAAAATGAAAATGAAAAAGATGAAAAGTTTAGCTGAGTTAATGTATCTTGATCATCAAAAAATGTCTTTGATGGCAACCAAAAAAAAATGTTCACAAATTACAAACAAACAATGCTTTCTTGGGTAGATTTCTTCTTCTTCTTTTTCTTGTGTTTGAGTGTTTCAATTTTCAAAATAAAAAAATTTCATCTTAATCATCATCATTATGATTCTTTTTCATTTCATTTCATTCTCTCTTGTCGCCATCATCATTATGATGATGATGATAAGGATGAAAAACTAATTAAAAAATAACAACAACAACGTTTTTGATTTAGTTATGATCAATTCTGTTTTCTGATTCTCTCTCTCTCTCTCTCTCTCTCTCTCTCTCTTGCTTTAAATTTACCAATTTTTTTCACTGTTTCTAATTTATTGTTATGATGATGATACAAGCAAGCAAAAAACGCATCTTCTTCTGTTTCTTCTATCCGAAGATGATATTATATGGTTATGGCTTGTTTTTTATTATTATTTCATAGTCGTTTTGTTTGTTTGTTTGTTGCATGTTTGTGTTTGTATAAATTATTAAATCAAAAGGAAAACTGCAGTTATCCATTGATAATGTTGAACAAACAAATAAAGGAAGAAAGAAAGAATCAAAGCAGAATGATGATGATGATATTGAAATATTCATCCACAACCATCACCTTTCTTTTTTTTTTTTTTTTTTTTTTTTTTTTCCAAAAATTTAAATTTTTTTTTTTTTTTTTTTTTTCTTTTTTTTTCTTTTTTT